TGCACCCTGAAATAATGCCAGAAACAGGTAACCAATGTGGTCTGAAACATCTTAGATCACATCTCAGAAGGAGGAGGAACACTATCTCAATTAACAAGTGCAGTATTACAGCTACACAGCAAAAACACCCTCACCTTTTTACCTAAACTTAGTGGGAAAGGTTAATATAGGATTAAGAAGTGGTATAGCAATACCACATTGTACATAGATAAAAATCAGTGATAAATCACACTATGGCTGATAGCAAGCATAGCACTTGATTCAGTGGGCATTTTTTTAGTGGCTGAAGGGTTGGCATTAAGTGGCTGCACATCTGCTTTTCAGAAATCTGCAAAGATGAATTCACTAGGGAATTTAGTGTCACTGGGAACAGATCCTTAACACCCACCCACTCACACCTTTTAATCTTGGCTTTCAACAGGCCTGGGAAAGACTGAATTGTAGGGAAAATAGTGACATATAATGAAGCGGACTTGGGGCAGCAAAAATTTTCTGCTTCACTGAAATGTCTCCTGCTGGATGAGTGAATGCTGATGCACTCATTACTATGAATGAAAAGGGTGTGGTGTGAGCTGCAAAAATTGCAGATAGTTGCAAATAACTTTTGCAAATAGTTGCAACTATCTATCTGCAGATAGTTTTTGTTCTACTTTTTTGTCAAGATCATCCATGAACCACTTCTTCCACACTAAGCAATCTATTATTCTATTAGTACTAGGCTGAGTGTTCACAACTTGTTTTGGGGTTTTTGTGGTGTTTATGGTTTTTTTTCTTTTCACCCTAACATTCTGCTTAGAGGTCAGAAACAACAGCTTTTGCATTTACTTGAGTTCCACTTTAACTCTGTGTTGTTGGTGACATTCCAGGTTCTGCAGCTCAGGTCCAGAGTAAGAAGCTTTCAGCATCCACTCAACATGGGGATTACTAGCAGCATCCTTTGAATTTTGACCCAGGAAGCAGCAATGGAACAAGAGGAAGCACTCAAAGACCAAAGACAGTAAGCAGTGGTGGCATTGGTAATAAGCTGGTATGGTTGCAAAATGAGCAACTTCTTTGCTAGCTTGCAAGCTGTGATTTGTGTATGTACCCAGGCAGCTTTCCTCTGGACAATAACTCGACCCCCTTTGAAAATTTATCTCTAAGAGCAAGGTGACCAGTATGTATGGCTAGCAAACAGAAAAAAAAATATGTTCCAAATGCTCCAAAAATTGACTAAAGAAATGGTGCAGGAGGGAGATATTCAGATAGCAATGGTCCAGGAAAGAAATTTTGGGGGTTGGTTTATTTGTTTGGTTTTTTTGAGTACTGTGCCATGGTTTCTGACTTTTTGTTACTTATGCTTTCAGGTGCCTAGCAGATGGAAGGAGGGAAGGGCAGATAGGCTATTACCACACCTAAATGAAAAGTCTCTTGCTACTGTCTTCACGCAACTACAGAAACAAAGACTGGTCCAGAAGTAAACCTAAATGTATTTTTAATCAGTCCAGGCCATTTTAGACAATGCCACTGAACTGGCAACCTTGAAGCAAGAGAAGAACAATTTATATACAAATCAAACAGAGGCAGTAATACTCCAGTGCTGTGCGTATGCACTTCAGCATACTTGGATGCAGCATTCAATACCAGCTCCAGTCAGTTAATCTGCTAATCCATTTTAGGTACTGAGTGATGGAGATCCTTGCTCTGAGCAAGAGCAGCGCTGCACGTCCTCCCTTCACAGACAATGCAGCACAGTACAGAAAGGCAAGGTTATCAGTCAAAACTGAAAGGCTTCCTTTTATTGTGGTAACCTCAGACTGTGGTGGTGCAAAGCACAGCTAAGTACTTAGAGCAAAAGCATTGGGTCTGGTGTTTGGGGTTTTCTTTGTTTAGTTTGGTTTTTTTAACTGCTTTCCTATTGCAGCTCCTGTGTAAAAATGTGTAAGTTTATCTGCATTTCTCTTGAATGGAAAAAAGCTTGCTTTTATAGCCTAGCCAAAAAAAGACTCAAAGCTGTCATTCAGTGATGTGTCAAATTGTATTGCAGCTTTTGATGAGCTGGAATACTAACCTATGTGCCTTTTAGCATCATCCAATTCCCTGGCTGTTTGATTATTCATGTTCACAAACAGCTCAGTAGTCTTGTTATAAATAACTAAGATCTAGAATTAAATTCAGGCAACCCTTAACAGCATTGCAATGGTTAAACACTGAGTAAAGGAACTCAAACTTCTGTTAGAAATGCTGCAGTATTTCAAGATGGAGGATTCCTTCACCATTACTGAAACAAGCTTTATTTCATTCAAGCTTGCTGCTATGCCAAAACAAGTTACAATAATGCTGTAGAATCAGTTATCAAATAACATGAGTTCTTTTTAAGGTATGCCTTGAATGAATGACAAGGTGACTGATAACTATCCAAGGTCAGCTGTCACTAGAGAAGACATCAAATGTAATTCTAGTACATTCCAGGAACCAGATACCGATTTGGAAGTATAACAACAATATCACCATGAAGCACTTATGTGCCACTGCAGCAGTAAAAAGGAAAGGGCTGTCTCTGGCTAATTACAGCTTCTTGATAAAATACTTCAAGAATTACTCACCTTACTTAATACAGCAAAATTCAATGATTTTTTGAATGCATGAATGCTGTACCTATAGAAGACTACCTTCAAAGAACAGCAGTAACACAAGACTGGTACTATAGGGATAAACAATCTTCCATAGGCTTTCAGTGCTGTATTGTAACAAAAACTTAATTCAGTCCTTGACTGCATGCAGCGAATGGATGATTTTCTTCACGGCACAGTACTTTTAAGCACATCAGGAAGTTCTGGGTGTCTTCTGTTTCCATAAAGCCTTTTCAGAAACCCTACTAAAGTTTTTGCAGTTTCCCATAATATGAGACTGAGTTATGTCAATACTAGCTAGTGACACATTCACACATCACTCACTACTCACAAAAGCATCAAGTTCATGATGTGAAACTGCTGAGATGATTACTTCACTTGGAGCTGGTTATCATTTTAGTCAGTCTGCAACTATAGCATTGCACACCCTCTGTTCTCTTGTTCAAGGATACTGACAGTTATTTCCTAGCAAATATCCTCCTCTTTCTCATGCAGTCAGGAAACAAATAAGGCTCAGAGCAGTATCTTTTTCATGCTGCACCATACAGTATTGACTTAGTGTTTGGTATTTAGGAAAGCTAACTTAACTCTTCAAACCTTTCATACTCCTGCTTTCCCTACAGTTTCTTAATTCCTATGGAAAACAGCTCTTACCTCCAGACAGTCAGCAGACAGTTCCCTCTGGGATTGCTCACATTAAAGAAAGTTTACAAGTAAAATTTCATTCAACAGATTTTTTATTTATCAATTTGGTTTTGCGATTACAACTGTTTCAGTTTTCTTCCACTGAAGACAAAATACAAACTTTTACAGCAACACTTGCAGAGAACATTCATAAGATAACAGCTTGATATTTGCACAAGTTGGCTTCAAGAAAAAGCCAGATAACTTGAAAAGTCACTACAGTTCAGTGCCTAAAACTGATTTAGGAGCAAATACAACTACAGATCTATGAGCTACCTTCCACTTCAAAACACAAGGCTGAGAAAAACTGCAAGTTGTTACTTCAGGTTTTCTGCTAGTACACAGCACACATCAGCCAATACCGCCATTTCACAAGGAAGTAATTACTTTCTATAGTGAGGCAGCCAAGCACATGGTGAAGATGTATAACCCAGCCTCCCCTCCCCCCAAACAACTGAAAGGGAAACAATCCGAGCCACAACTCTGTAAATTGTGGATTATACCTTGTTGGCAAGCCTAATGAGCAAGCAGTGCATAGTGCAGGCCTTCCAGAACATGACTAAATTGATATAGTACAAGCTTGAGTTTTTCAGATTGGCAGCTGTATATGTCAGAGATCCTGGGTTTCCTAAGGTCTCAGAAAGTAGCAAATGCTGGCACCAAGAAAAATTTAGTAACTAAGGCAAGGTATCCCTTCCACCCTTTTAAACAAAATTTGAGGCAAAAGATTAAGCAACTTTAAGGCACTTCAAAAATTATTTTTAGTTTGCTTTACCAGCATAGTTTATCAGCAACCTAAATCGGGATCAGCATAGCTCATGAATAAGCATTTTAGCAACATTTTACAGAGCAACAAATTTTCTTTGTGGCTATGTCTGCCATGCTATGACATGTTCTGTGGCACTTTTCTGCAAGTTTCCCAAAAGACAGCCCTTTGAGGCCAAAAAAATTATATACTAGGCATACAGTTTGCTTTGCTGAGCTGAAGGAGAACTTTGTCACACTTTAGAAGGGCGTTTTGCTCATTTCAAAGCACAGAATACAAGCTCATGGATATCTTTTTAAACAAATAAAGGTAATAAAATAGCTCTGAGATAGATAGGGAAAGGACAGATTAAGTGATTTCACAATAAGGCGAAGGATATACCATCTAACCCACACACATACTGTTGCTGGAAACTGGCTGCTCACTCCGCTGTTTCAATAAACCTGAGCTGATTGTCTTAGTTTTGTTTAGAAAACCAAATCCTAATGAACTCAAAGATACAGTACTGGTGAGTAACTAACTTCTGTATTTTGTAGCAATTTGAGTTTTCTATGCAGCGCAACAGAAACAATGCCATTCAAACTAGAAGAATGCAAGAAAGCAAACCTGTACACAAAGTTTCCAACTGAAGTGCACTTAATTTGCTTCATATTTAAGTTCCACTGCCATGACTATTATCTGCATTAATGCTATCATTTTGTATTGGGTGCCAAATTCCAGTCAAGTCAGAGCTAGTAAGACAGTACTACAGATTATCCTGAAATTGATGATCAAGGGATATCACCAAAAGCTACATATTATGTGCTACAACCACTTGATTTTATCTTTACTTCCATTTTTCCTGTGGGTTTATTTTCACAGGTGCTCAAGCCAATCTACATTGGAGATGACATACCTTTGATACTCATATCACATGGCTGACCCAGCCAAGGAAAAAAAAAAATACTATTTAGCCAAATAGATTTCCTTAACCAGTTCACTGCAGGGTGACATAAACCTGATGCCATGAAGAGGGGAGGGAGAAAGAAACTACAGCAATCCTGACTAGGATCAAATTGGCAGATCCTCTGAACTACCCTTAACTGCTCCTTCAGCAAGCAGACATACAGGAGGGTAAAAAAGAAAACCACCACCCAACCATGAAATTAATTGCAACAAGTTTAAGAACCATTTGAATAAGAAAAACCTCAGGATTTCCCAAACACCAGTATTTCAAGTATAAATGTACATTGTTGCCTTTTTATACAGGGAGTGAACTGTATTTTATCACTAGTTTTATGGTTGGTCTTTGTAGGCCAGAACAAAAGGCAACTTAAAAGCTTCTGTCTGTAGCTGAACATTACTGTACCATGCTCCTTCACCCTCAAACAAGGTCAATAAGGGACAGTTACTTAGTGTGAGAAGTTTTTAAACTGGAATGCTCAAGTCACATGTATTCCATTCTCCTATATAAAGCTAGTACTTAGGAAAGAGTTTTATTATCTTTGAGATAGGTGGGATGCTTTTGCAGCCTACTGCTTTCTAGTCTTTTAAGGCACTAATCTTCATTTCTCCTTTAGAAGGACTACCCCTACATTCCTTCTCCACCCTCAACATTAATTGGAAAGGGCATAGGATTTCTGTTTGGAATGCAGTATTTTATCAGGCAACCTTTATTCTTGTGTAAAAAAATTTATGGGTTATGTTATTCTGTTAAGACATTATCTACTTCTACAATTTTGTTCATCTTTCTAGCAGCACACTGTAAGAGCCATAAGCTAGTATAAATGGTATTTCACTCCCTGAAGTCAGTCACCAATAATTCACATCTTGATAAAACTGAAGGGATACTGTATCAAATGTTGATTAAATTAGCCTTCACAATAAGTCATCATGAGATTGTCTATTCAAGACAGTGTTGCCACTGACTAAGAATCTCTGAACCTCTACATTTGGCATATCAAAAAAAGTCCCACAGCAGCAGCCACTAAAGGAAAATAAGACAGCCATTAGAACCCATGCAGCATATTGCAAGTAATCCTGTTGAAAAGATTCATATCATCTCTTGCCAAGTATAATGTTGCAAAAATATTCTTTGAAAGTCTTCTTCTAGAGATTTAAAGGATATTATGAACTGCTGTCTTCCATGAGCAACAGAAAATATTTTGGTTCAGTGAACTACAGGTGTTGGGCTGCTAGTCCATTATGAAGTGGCAGGTCCTAAAGTGTGTGATAGTTTCGGTCTTTCGACCTGCAGAACTTGTACAGAAAGAAAATAACTGCCTGCAGACCAAGAACAAGGACAATTCCACCTATGAAACTCGCAGCATCAAATGTAGATTTGCGTGGAGAAGGTGCAGGAGTCACAGTAGCATTTGTACCTGTTAAACACCACATTAGAGTTTGTGAGTGCACAAAGCTCACAAAAGTTTTACAGATTTTAGTATTGGCTTCCTTGTATTAAGATTACCCAAAACATCCAATAAGGAAACAAAAAATAATCAAAAGTAAAGACATATCAGCAGCTGCATTTAGATTAGTGATACTGAAATCCTGATTAAATACTGTTTGTACAAGGCTAGAGCTATTTATAGCCAAACTGCTCTGGACCTCAATACTGAGCAAGTTGCAGCTGGACTTTATTTGTACTTCAAAAAGCCAAAGCTTTCCTCCTTTACATAGAAGTGTATTATTGATATGCTCACATTCAAAATACATTTTCCAATCTCTGCTGCTTGCTCCAGTTTTTGCTTAAATTCAAATTAAATTCTTATCTTCCATCTACTGTACTTTACCCCAAGAGCTATGCTTAAAGAAATCAGCTGAAGCCAAAACACATTATCTGGAAGTAACAGCCATCTGCTGATGGCTAGTTTTAAAGAGCTTTACTTCATGAAAGCTTTTAATGAAATAGCATATTCAGGACTAGTGCTGAAATAAAATACTTCAGCTTATTCCCATCACTGTAGCTCAATTTATTTTTTTTTTTAATAGGCATCCCATTATTATGCTGCAAGTGAAAACCAAAATACCTTCTCCCAAAGATAAGCGAGTTAACAAGTGACTTCCAGCCACACTATTAAAAGCTGCCAGCTGATTTCATTTGACCAACACATTTCTGACTTGTAATATCTCACCAACTAGCTGTTTCTCAGGGTATTATCTTGCTACATACATACATCACCTCAACAAAATTAGACATGCCATGAAGTTAGAAGCGACAACAGCAGATATACTGATACTACTTTCATGTTGTCACTTATCTTTCAAGATAACACTTATAAAGCAACACTAATTTCTAAGTATTTTATGCTTTATTTATGCTAGTAGTAGCAGTTACCTGGAATACTGGTTGTTGTGGTAGCTGAAGTAATGGCAGTTGTAGGTAGAGGAGCATGTGTAGTTACATTGGTGATGTTAGCTGTTTGAGAGAAGACAGTATGTGCATACCATAAACTTCAAGAGCAAAGTTCACAAGCACTGAAGTTCTTATGTAAATGATTTGTCTTGTTTTGCTTAAACAAGGACAAGCTTTGACCTCAGACCGCACCTCACACAATTTATATGTTCAGCTGCATGGCATTAAGCCAAGTTTCTGCAATAGGGATTTTTTTTTTTTTTAAACTTGCATACTATCGTTAACCAAATATTTCAAGGTTCTCCACAGATCAGACAGTCATTCTTCCTTCAGACAAAACCACTTTTCTTTCAAGCACCAATATAAATGCTGGTATTTGAACAAGAATCAAGACAACTGAGAATCTGCATCAAGGCAAAGGACTTTTTCATTAAACAGCCCTTAGAACCAGTATTTACTGTACTAAAAAAGTACTTAATGTAGTACCTCTGGACAGGAGATAAACACAGGAAGTTTTGCTATACTCTTTCTCCCCTTGTGCCCAAAACACTAACTGTGAATGACATCACTGGAATAAGCAAACACTCACCTGTAGCTAGACTGTCTCCTAAAAGCCCTTCCATCAAGTCAGAACACTAGGTCTCTGACCACCCCCAGATTAGCATTACTAAAAATTAATCAGTATTCCACTATGTGCCTGGGACAAGTGCCAACATTTGTAGGTTTACTCAAAGCTAAACATCACCCTACTGTACATTAGGCTGCCCTAAGCCTAATCAAGTACCAACTCGTTACCTCCCAGCTCCCTTAAGCAGGGGATGCTTTTAAAGATTTTTTTTTTTTTTTGAGAACTTCACTGTTAAGAAGGCAGCACACATAAGAACAGAAATTTTTGAATTGGGCAACAAAAAAACCCCCAAACTCATGATTAGTGGGAATGACTGATCTAATTCAAACAATTACCACTGAGCCAATTCTTAATTATATTGGAAAGAAGGATTTCCTCTGTTAGACTTTTATAAAATCCACTTCTTCCAAACCTTTGGACCATTTCTGTATTTCATACATCAGATGTTTAGTAGTCATGCTGCTACAGTGATCTACAGAAAAAGCCCTTGTCCTTTATTTTATTCACCGGTTCCTAGTTTACTGCCATTCTATGTTCAGGGGTACTATATTACCTATAGTAGTATGAGCTGTGGTAGCAGAACTGGCCGTGGTAGTATTGGAAGATGGTATGGTAGTATTGGAAGATGCTGTGGTAGTATTGGAAGACGGTGTGGTAGTATTGGAAGATGCTGTGGTAGTATTGGAAGACTGTGTCGTAGCACCGGAAAGAGGAACAACTGTAGGAGCTATGAAAGAATAAAGAGTTACATTAAAGAGATTAATGACAGTATTTAACTAAAAAAAACCCAAAACCAAAAAAACTCACAAAACAAAACAGTACAGCAGCAGGCTGAATTTTAGGGACTTCATATAGCACTGAGTTCTATTGTAGTTTTGGTTTGAAATTACAAAGCAGTTGAATGTTCAATCCACCACACTAACAGCAAAAGTTGCATGAGTGAATACATGAAAAACCTTGTCACAGGCAGCCCAATCAAGTCAGTGTTCAACTAGCAACTCAAGATTCCTCAAAGCAAACAGAACGGAGAAGAGTCCTATTGTACAAGCATAAACTGTGCATGCTTTACACAACAGGAAACTAGGTATTCCATTCTGCTTCCCAACCGCACTGCAACTTAAATTGAACCTGACCTATCAGGTTCAACTAGAAATCGGTGGTTAGACAGCTGAAGCAGTATGAGGGGAAAACCAAAACATCCTCAAGAATCTGAAAGTTTAGCTAAAGCTTTCTGTTCGGAGAGCTGTTGCTGGTTGTAGGTGCTCTCAGCTTCAGCATGTGCTGTAAAAAAAAAAAAACAAACCAACAACTGTGAAGCCTTCTGCAACTTACTGTATTAACTGAGTTAATCACACAGACAGCTTATCTAAACTGTTGCTTAATCATACACTGATACATCAGCAGGCTTCCTGCTGAAATACCATTATATCCAGAAGCCTAAGGGTCATTTAAATGTGGTTGTTTACATCTTGAAACAATTCAGCATGGTGGGAAACCAGAGACGACTGTTTCTATAGAGAGGGGCTGGATATATCAGAATCTACATACTCTCAGGTCCTACTTGCATCAAGTCAGTTTAGGTCCACCTTTAACAATTTTTCCACGTCAATCCCTGAATGTAGTGCTGAGCCATGACACTGTAAGAGCGGATAAGGTATACGGGTTCTTCCACACCAACAAAGATCCTCTACTACAGGTGACAATTAAGTTTCCTTGACTATGCAGAAGCTAAAACACAACAACCTGATAATGTCACTACAAGTGTAACAGGAACAGATTGTAAAAATTCTACTCTCAGATATAGAACAAGGCATTGTCACAGCATGCTTGCTTTGGAAAGCACTAAAAATGGTACCATTAATACTCCTGATTAAGAGGTGATTGTTACAATTTTAGAAACAACACATAAGTCCAAGTCAAGCAGAATTATTTTGGACTGGCTGCCACCACCTCAAGATAGCCCATAACAGCATGGAAACTTCATCTCTGTTGGTGTGAGCCAGCCTCTACAGCAGCACTGTTAAACTCATCTAGACAAGAGTATTAAGAATTTTCATTTGCTGTTCTAGATCTTAAAACCAGAAAATCCTCTTTTAAAGTCCACTTCTCAGCTTTCAGAAAAACTAAAACTGGGGGGCTTTCACAAAAGTGAAATTCAAGATTTAATCTAAATTATTCATATCCTGCAAATCTGCTTTGCACAGCAGGCACAAATTACTAAGACTGAAGCAGATACACAGCTGAGCATCCTCCCAGCATGAAGGATTTACCTTAAGCAGTTCTATAACCCAGACCCTGCACTTCAGGACTGCATGAAGAGCTGTGCTAGTTAACAATTAAAATTGGAAGGTTCATAAGGTTTTCCTGTTTACTGCATCTCACATGAAGCAATGGACTTAGGTGAATCTTGGATATGCTATATCTAATAGGAAATGTCACCCATTTTAATCTAAGAAACCAAGGCAGTAGCCAGAGACATGTGTCTAGTAAAACGCCAGGCTTCTTGAAACAGAAACAGTAAGCAGTTAACTGAATGCACAACAAAATTGTGTATTTTAGTATCGCATATCATACGTTTAAGCTGGAAGCAAAGGGTTTATTTACATACTTGCACATGCTTATGTAAATTGTAGAAGCATTATTAACAAAGGTCAGCAGATGAAGGAGTTATAAACACAACTGCTTCACATTAAACTATGTGAAAGCTAAGTATCTAAATACTTACAAGAACACTGTTCTTCAACTCTACAGTTGCTAGACTTCAAATCTACTTCTGTTTCATTTACACACTTGTGTTCTGTCAGAAAAGAAGAGGCAAGAATATTTACAGCAGCAGAACTTTAAAGTGTTTGAGACATTGTCCTTAAATACTAATAAACTGTTCAAAGGACAAGCTAAACACCATCTTCTGGCCAGGGTAACATTAAAGCCACTTCAATATGCAGGACTTCAGTATTATATTAATAATTAGAAAAGTTTTAGTATTTTCTTTCACTACAGTTACTCTACCACTCATCAATACTTAGGCAGTACTTATACATGGCTATGCACCATTTTGCAGTAACAGTATAGCTTGCTATTTTTTCTTCATAGCCTATAAAATTAGACAGTGTTTCTACTATTTGTGGCATTTTTCAAGTTAAATATTTTGCATCTCTATGGTAGCATCATAAAAAAAACTGTCTTAAAAAAATTCTACATGCAAGCAAAACTTAGTTCTAGCTTTTCAAACAGGTCCTTGACCTTGAAATTGTTGAAGACATCAGTTTCTTATTCTCTGCCTGCACACCCTTCTCCCTTGACTCAGATTTCTCCCTCAAAGTTACATAGATCTCTTGGGTTTGCAGCACAAGCCTGTCGGTCAGACAACAGACAACACATGCAGAATTCAGAAAAAAGAGCTTCTTGAAGTACACTCTTGTACTGGACAAGTTACATCCAAAATTCTTTTCATTAGCTTTTCATTAGGTTCCCTGACTGAAGACCGGGATGTGCCTGCATGTCAGAATCCACTCACAACTCCTTAACAGCAAACACAAACGACTAGTTTGTTCTAAAAACATTCTGAACCATTTGGAAAACATTAGCTTATCAACAGCAGAGATTTAAATCAGAAGCCTTAAAAATCTGGGATTATCTTGAACATGTTCAGCTGTCTCCACATAAGAATTTGAAAAGCTTAACAACAGATATGAGTTAATACTTCATTAGGTTATCAAACAGAACAGTATATTTGTGTAATGAACATTAATATAGATGAAGTAGGTCTAGTTGAGTTTAAGGTTCTGCATGGCATAGTAAGGATCTGCACTGTGTAGTCTTCCTTACTTTCACATCTGATCCACTTGCAGCCTGCTACATTTGTGTCATTACCAATACACGAACTGCAGTTAGAAAGCTTTTCACAGATGCCTAAAAAACACAGAAATGCATTGATTAGGACAAAATTACCACTGTCAAAAGAGCAACTTCACCCACAGAAACAACTCTTAGATCCATGACTTCCCATATGTACATCTCCTGGGTTAAGGCACAATCCTTCCCACTGAACTAACTACAACTGAACACTGCAACTTAGTAATGCATTTGACCAGACACAAATACATTTCCCTCCAGACACTACCCATACTCCGAAACCAGACCCCACACGTACACCAAGATTTTGCCTCATGCAACCTCTCACTAAACAGATAAGAGGATACGCTACTCTAGTGAAGTTACCAAAGTTCACCAAAATAATTTTGCAGAAGTTCACCGAAGCCTCAGATGGTAAGAGCCTTGATCCTTTTGATTACATTTTTCCTTTAGGTAGTACAGGCAGCTATAAATAACCCTACAGTAGAAAGCAACCAGAGTATGGTAAATAAAAGACAAGAACCTAGAGGACTTCATATACAAATGCATATAAAGGAGAGCATAAAGTAAGTCAACCTATTCATATTTTGATCACAGCAGAAGCCAGTAACCTAACCAGTCCAGCTGCTTTTTTATGTCAATCTCAGTCAAACATTGTTGCCTTAAAACCACAATGACAATACATCCACTATCTGGATCAAGTAAGATCTCCTAATCTACAATTTTACTGCATTAGTTTTAATTAAGACTTACTCATACAGCCATCATGCTCAGAAAACCCACATACCACCCACAACTCCTTACGGTGCATACCCTCCAGCACACTTCACATCATATCCACCTACTCCAGGCACCTTTGGGTGACCTTTTACTTTACTCTGCTCCCTAGTGAGGGTATCGCTGCTATTCACAGATCTTTGGCAACCAGCATGGTAATTTATACCTCAGGATAACAACTACAAATACATGAACTAACTTCAGTATTCTCATAATTTGAATTAAACCTGAACCCACCTGGCCTTTCTCTTGGTTATGGTAGGATCAGGCTAGAAATACTGGCACTATTTCTTCACTTTCAAGAAATGTAAAAAGATATGAAAACACCTTTGTCGGTTTGCATCAGTGAGGTATGCAACAGACTTGCCCTGTTTGCTTCAGAAATAAGGCACTTAAACCACTTCAAGAGCTATATGACAGTTTCTGGATAACAGATTTCAGGAAAAAAAAAGTAATTTATTATTATCAGTATACATCTGAAGAACAATCACAGCACGCAGAACATTCACTTCTGACAAATGAACAACGTTCACTTTTATAAATTCCTCACTGGTACATAGAAAATTCAGCACAGTACATCTGTGGAGACAGGAGGACAGTTAGTGCAGCCAGCTAATACCAGGTGCACTAGGACTATCAAACTTTCAAAACAGCTTTCCCAAACTAGCATGGGGGAAGAACAGATTTACAAGAATAAAGGATCAGGAAAGTTTTATCACAGCAAAAGGTTTCAAGAATGAGCTGTTAACTTCAGAATCAGCAGCGGGGTGTCAGATGTTCTCCCAATGCTACTCCTGCTGTGAAAGGCTCACTTAGGATCTTTATATGGGATAACAGCAAGCTCCCCAGCTCTCCCTGTCAGCAGATGCCTGCTCTTTACTGAAAAAGTGCCTCTGGTACCATGAACTCAGCTCTTAAGCGTAGGCAAGCTCATGTTTGCTCCCAAGATAAAAACCTGTCTGTTGTACTGGCTCTTACATAGGGTAAATCCGGATACTCCCCTTACACTTGAGGGGGAGACCTAGAAACACTAACAGAGGCATGTCCTGCTGGACCAACACTGCCCTCTCCCTCTGCACCGGAGAGGTTGTTAATCTCTGGCTCTTGGCAGTCCTCAAGCAGTTCGCAGTTCCGATAGGGTGCCCGATATTGGCCTACATCACGTCCTCGGTGGTAGGGCTGAAGAGGAAATCTAGAAGGGCTGAAGCAGAGGTTACTGGACGGCTTCACACTTAAGTGCACCCAGTGCCATTACGCAATGCGGCCAGAGAACACTAAGCTACTTCCAAACCAACTTCTTTCCTTAGCTTTTTGGAGCATGTGGCACATTTTGTGGTTCTTGGCCACGTAAACACTTTAGCAAACAGCTCAGAGCCAGAAAGATTAGACGAGCCCACAGGACAAATAACGAGGCTATCATCAGGACAGCAAACAACCGGCAGCGGTGACAGAACACTGCTGGCGCACCTAACCTGTACTAAGTTCGCAAGAAACGAACGCGCCGCGGACGTTTTACCGGACACAAAGCCCCCCGCTGCTAGTCATTTGCTGCATACGGGGGGGGGTCGGATACCGGAGGCGGTGTGAAACCGCGCTACCGTATTTCACACCGAACGCTCCGCAGCGAGGGGAAAACCGAAAGCGAGTAAGAAAGGAGCCAGAGAGAAGCGGGGCGAGGAGCTCGGCGGGCTGCGGCCGAGGCGCTGAGGGCGATCGGCGGCGGCGCTGCCGCCTCGCGGAAGCGGCCGAGCTGTGAGGGAACGCAGGGCGGATCCCCCGCCGGGCGGCCGGATCCCCCGCCGGGCGGCCGGTACCGCCGGGCTCGGCTCTGCTCCCCTCCCCGGTCCCGGCAGAACGGAGGGCCGGTCGGTCGGAGGGTCGGTCGGCCGCCCGGACCGAGCTCGGTGCGCGGAGCCCGCCCCGTTCCCCCCC